AAGGAACTCTGGTTAGCTGGCAAACAACCAACCAAGAACCTATCGATCAACAAATGTGCAGAAGAGGAAAGTGAAGATGGATTGAGTTGGACATACACTGAGAAAGCCATTTGGAGACATCACGCGACAGGCCTGGCATTCGAGTGGAATGCAAAAGGGAGAGGACAAGTTGGGCGTCCGTGGTGAGGGTGACATTGAGGAGGTGGTGTGAGGAAGAAATGAAAGGTTGTTGACGGTGTTCGATCGAGGTTGACAAGAGTGCGGAGAAGAGAGTTGAGTGGAGGTGTGCTACTGAATCCCTATGTTCCACTATGAACCCAGATGACAAATAATAATAATAATACTATATGATATATACGATAGTATAGCTCTAGGAAATGATCCTTCAAAAATGAAACTGTCTTCTCTTTATTGTATTTAGTTGATGTTTTGCAATACCTACAATCTTTATTGGTTAGGGACTAAGAAAAAACCGTCCTCTGAGTTATATTATGCAACTTTTCATATTGCTGATAATATGATTGTACTCTTCAATCTTCTGATAATCTTTATCACTGTCAAGAATCAGCGATCTTGATTTTTTGACCGAAGTTCTTCGCTGACGTTATTCTTAGCATATATATGCTGATGTTTTATATGGATAATTATAACGGAGAAAGAGTAAATTAAAAAGGTTTGTCTGAATTCCCTCTAAAACCGTGTATTGACTTTTCAACTGAAAAATTGTTTATAGGAAAACTGAATTCTTCCACTTATAATCTTGACAAGTGTTATTTGATATCAATCACATTGTCCAACTGTTCAACTTTTTATCATGCGATTGAAGTGAAATATTTTTGGATATAACTTCTTTCTACTGAAAGGATTTCGTTTACTTAGAATACTTCGATATTAATGAAGATTGAAGTGATGAAGAATATTTGTAGTTCAGGTGAATAGTCTTGGTTGTATTGTGTTCTCTGACTTGGGTTGTCTAATCATGAGGCTTTTATCGTCTCTCTAGACAGTGACATCATCAACACTAACTTCAGTATGAAATGAGTTGTCAATATCTCTCCTAAATCACTCATGGAGAGATATTGACAACTCACTTCATACTGAAGATAGTGTTGATGATGTCACTGTCTAGAAAGACAATAAAAGCTTCATGATTAAACAACCCAGCTCCATAGAGAACACAATACAACCAAGACCATTCACCTGAACTACAAATATTCTCCATTATTTAAAATTCCTCAATATATACATAGTATATACCTGAGTTCATCACTCACACTATTTCACATTGAATAAACATGAGTAGTCCACAATTTTTATATAGACAGTTAACAGGGTAGACGTAACTATTCAGTCATCCGATAAATAAATACCAGTCACCATTTCAGTGAACTTTAATCTATCGAACAGTTTTTTGCTTAATCAACGAAACAGTCAATCTATATTAGATTTGTTTATTTGATATAAAGCGCACAGTGATACAGTATTATTTACTTGATTACGTTTCGAGCATAAATTATTGCTCATAATCATATCAATGTAATCACACTTCTTTCGACATCTGATTTTATAGTCCTGTCACCTGATCTCTCTTTGTTTTCTTGTTTTTTGATTGGTAGTAAAGTTTTCCATATCTCTGGTATAGGTGTTGCGTCATTCCTATTACATGTGTTGGGTGTGAATTCGATGAACAAAGATTCAGTAATTAATCTCTCTCTCCACCTAGCTATATTAGACTTAAGTACAGTGGTTTTGTCCCATCCTATTGTGTGGTTGTGTGTTAATGAATGTAATGCAATGGCTGAGTGTTTTTCTAGGTTATTGATCTTATTGGGGTCTGTCGTTCTATGTTTAGCTAAATTCCTATGTTCTGTTAATCTAACTGACCCCGACCGGCTAGTTTGACCTATGTATTTGACTTCACAGTCATTACATGGAATTTGGTAGATTATATTATTTTGCTTAATTGGTTCTATCGGATCTTTTAGCCGACAAAGCTTACCTCTAAGTGAGTTTGTTGGTTTAAATGCCACCCTAATTCCAACCTTGTTGAGAATCCTACGTATGGTTTCTGATGTTCCTTCCTTGTATGGTATCACAATAGAGGTGCTGATTTCCTTTCTACTTATGTTGTCACTATTATTTGTATTTGTATTAGTGTTATTATTTTGCTTCTTATGCGTCCGTGTGAATTTCTTAATAAAATGATGGGGATAATTATTAGTTATTAACGCTTCTTTTATGTGTTTCAATTCCTTATTTAAGTCCTTACAATGACTAGTGAGTTTCTCAGCTCTGTTATTTAGACATTTGACTAAACCCGCTTTAACTGACACTGGATGAGATGACTTGAAGTCTAGATACCTGTTAGAATGTGTTGGTTTTCTGTAGACGGTAGTATCTAAACCACCATCTATCCTTCGTTTTATTCTGCAATCCAACATAGGTAATTCTCCTTGTTCATTTTCTACTTCGTAGGTGAATTGGATTGCGTTAACTACTGAGTTTATGTGTGTCAAGAAACTGTCGATATGTTCCGATTTCAACACTGTAAATGTGTCATCTACATATCGCCACCATATCTTAGGTGTCGGATTATATGTTCGTAAAGCCATATCTTCCCAACTATCCATAAATATATCTGCTACTATAGGGGATATTGGTGATCCCATTGCTACTCCTTCTGTTTGTCTGTATATCTTTCCCTGAAACTTGAAGACTGTCGAGGTTAAGCATAACTGCACTCCTAACATGATTTCACCAACATTTAGCAATTACTATACTATTATCCTTTCGTAGATTGTTTAAAGCTGAATTTTCCAGTTTCGTTAAGTTTCGCTGTGTCTTCTTTTGTTTTTTAAGTGCTAATGCACACTGCGCTCTAACCTGTTCAGCAGTTGTCACATCCACCGAGCTTAATGCTACTTCTATGCTAGGTATGACATCTTCTGGTTTTAGATGATCTACTGTTATGTTGAAGTTTAGTCCTTTTTCAAGTACTTTCATCTCAGCTGAGCTTAAGGCTTTCGAGGAGAGATTGACTACCCACTTTGTTCTATCGATATTCGATGATGTTTCCTTTGTAATTTCATTGTTTTCCGAAGCATATTTTTCTTGCATTAGTTTATTGAACTTTTTGATTTGATTTCTTCTAGATTTCTTGAGAGTAGCTAATCTTGCTTTGTCTGATGTTTCTATTATAAATCCATAGTCTCTGCAGTTTACTATCTTCATAATTTTACATTTAAGTTGTTCAATTTTATTCCGAATGGTACTTAATTTCTTAATAATCCTGTGAATTTCTTCTTTCAGACATAGTTTGCTGACATGTTCTATTGCCCTTTGTATTTTGTCAGTATATATTGGGATTCGTATGCGAAGGTATTTAGGGATAATTTGATTTTTCATGCAACGAATATTGAAAATACGATGATTTGTGAAACGTGCTTCAGTTTGTGAAAGTCGTGTGAGTTTATTGATTAGCCTTCGAACAGGAAGACCATAAGTTTCATTAATATAAGTGAAATCATGTTAGGAGTGCAGTTATGCTTAACCTCGACAGTCTTCAAGTTTCAGGGAAAGATATACAGACAAACAGAAGGAGTAGCAATGGGATCACCAATATCCCCTATAGTAGCAGATATATTTATGGATAGTTGGGAAGATATGGCTTTACGAACATATAATCCGACACCTAAGATATGGTGGCGATATGTAGATGACACATTTACAGTGTTGAAATCGGAACATATCGACAGTTTCTTGACACACATAAACTCAGTAGTTAACGCAATCCAATTCACCTACGAAGTAGAAAATGAACAAGGAGAATTACCTATGTTGGATTGCAGAATAAAACGAAGGATAGATGGTGGTTTAGATACTACCGTCTACAGAAAACCAACACATTCTAACAGGTATCTAGACTTCAAGTCATCTCATCCAGTGTCAGTTAAAGCGGGTTTAGTCAAATGTCTAAATAACAGAGCTGAGAAACTCACTAGTCATTGTAAGGACTTAAATAAGGAATTGAAACACATAAAAGAAGCGTTAATAACTAATAATTATCCCCATCATTTTATTAAGAAATTCACACGGACGCATAAGAAGCAAAATAATAACACTAATACAAATACAAATAATAGTGACAACATAAGTAGAAAGGAAATCAGCACCTCTATTGTGATACCATACAAGGAAGGAACATCAGAAACCATACGTAGGATTCTCAACAAGGTTGGAATTAGGGTGGCATTTAAACCAACAAACTCACTTAGAGGTAAGCTTTGTCGGCTAAAAGATCCGATAGAACCAATTAAGCAAAATAATATAATCTACCAAATTCCATGTAATGACTGTGAAGTCAAATACATAGGTCAAACTAGCCGGTCGGGGTCAGTTAGATTAACAGAACATAGGAATTTAGCTAAACATAGAACGGCAGACCCCAATAAGATCAATAACCTAGAAAAACACTCAGCCATTGCATTACATTCATTAACACACAACCACACAATAGGATGGGACAAAACCACTGTACTTAAGTCTAATATAGCTAGGTGGAGAGAGAGATTAATTACTGAATCTTTGTTCATCGAATTCACACCCAACACATGTAATAGGAATGACGCAACACCTATACCAGAGATATGGAAAACTTTACTACCAATCAAAAAACAAGAAAACAAAGAGAGATCAGGTGACAGGACTATAAAATCAGATGTCGAAAGAAGTGTGATTACATTGATATGATTATGAGCAATAATTTATGCTCGAAACGTAATCAAGTAAATAATACTGTATCACTGTGCGCTTTATATCAAATAAACAAATCTAATATGGAACTACATTCTACCACAGTGCCCAAGTTTTTCACTTATATTAATGAAACAGTCAATCTATTTCATCACATGTGAGACACGTTTTATACATTTGAATTTTATACATGACTATCATCACCACTATACACTCAGATGTAAACGATGAATCTAGACTTAGGAAAAATGTTAAACATTCCATGTATTCAAGTTGACGCTTTTTATTCACATATCATTTTTTCACTGGATTTCAAACTGTATAAGAGTATAACAAATAGTAAGTATCAGCTTCATTGCTGTGGAATTCGAAGACAAATATTATCGAAGAAAGAGGTGTGCTGAGTAAAACTGAAATATTGGTGAGCTACGTTGTTAGAGCACCGGTGCGGTAACCCGGTGGTCGCTAATTCGAATTCGACCGCTGTCAAGATTTTTATCTCACTTTCAATCATCACCCAGTATAAATACTAGTCTGTCAGACTTACGGCTGCTATCTCAGATAGTCAAATGATAGGGTAATATTTATCTGATCCTCCTGACTGCAAGTTGCATGTTTCATCTTTTCGGCCGACTGATCTCAATATGGTGTAATCTCAAGACCTCTGTTTCCATTCTAGCTTGTTCAAACTGAATTTTGGCTGCTTAGAATTCCTCTCAGATGACATGCTACTGTAGTTGAGGGAGGATTTGGTCAGTGTGTGTTGGCTTCCTGTACACTTTGGTTTCCAGCTTTCAGGCATTTGTCCTACTGACTAAAACATCCAAGAATGCTAGTTGGTCGTTTGACTCTTTCTCCATTGTGAATTTGATGTCACTGGAAACGTTGTTGATCATATCATGTTTTTTTTCAATGATGATAAAAGTATCGTCCATATGGCGAATCCCATCAGACTTGAACATGTGAGTTTTGTGCCTTCTGAGAGGTTTGTGTATTCATTGAGCAGGAGGGACATAGTTTTCTCGACCAATTAGGGTTCGATGGATGTGTATGGTGCTGTGACATTGAAGGATACCATTAATTCGTCGTTTTCCATGTGAATGTTTGCCATCTTCTCTAGGAATTCTGTTGTTGATTTGATGGAGTGTCCACATGATTGAATAAAGTGTGTCAGTCTTCTCGAAAGTTCTTTTGATGTTGTAGTATGTTGGAGTTCCCGGAAGTGAGACAATTGGTAGCAGAGAGATGTCTGGTTTGTGTAGTTTTGGTCTGTAGTAGAACCGAGGAAGTACAGGTCCATTCAATTTCATTCTCCACTTGTCTTGCTTTGTTATTTCTTCTGCTATGGAGAGTTTTTTCAAAGTTTTATTGACCTGGTTATCGAAGTTCTGGATAGGGTTGATTTCAAGTGGTTGATACACATTTTTGTCTTTGAGTAAAACACTATGTTCTGACGAAGAATGTCGGATATTGACCACCGATTGACTATCCAACAGGATGGAAAATAACTGAACAAAGTGGAAGACAAATGGTACAACTGATGCACAAATGCACAGATGCACATCATCGGATCCGGAAATACCAATTCGTGATTAACCATCAATAGAAAAATCTAGAAGGTATAATCACGATATAGCACATGACAACTTTAAGGACAGGAGTTGAAAATTCAGGTGAACGATACAGAGAACAATGATTTACTGATAGAGGGGATAAACGGTGACACTGTGTACACAAGACACTCCACACATACCTCACATTCTCTTTGAAGTTGACGACAAATTCCGACTATTGTACCTTCAATACTGTGATGTAATGCAGTTCATTGATGTTCAGGTGGAAATAGTCAATTGAAGTGAATGCATCAAATCAATGAATTGTATTTAGTCGAGAAAAGCGTAGATGAAATACGTTGAATGATAGAATCACATTTTTTGTAATTCACACACTTGATGTCAACAATCGAAATGTCTAAATTTTGCATTTAATCAGTTTAAGGACTGCAGTCAGAGAACATGAAAGTTGTTATTGGAGGTGATCTAAACAAGAGGCTAGACTAGTTGACATTGTGAAGAATGAAACAGCGCCATTCACTGGACGATATTTTCACCAGAGTTGATCGTGAAGAATCAGCCCATCCTCTCATCTCATACACTTATTTCCTATCTCTTCGCTTATTCAACACTACTGAATACAAAGATACAGCACAGCTTGTAAACTCACATCATTATACAATTAACTTACACACAAGACAGCACTACAATTAAGTAGATATCTCCTGTAGTTTGATTGTTCTCACTGTGATAGAGCAAAATGTGATTGGGAAATCAATATTGTGTATGATCACCTCTTTAAACTAACAGTAGTGATGACAACATTCAAAAGTAACATCCACGCATTGTCTACTGACAACAATTAAACGTGAATGGGAAATTTGGAGAAATATCTTGCAAATATCCTGCATCACCAATGATCCATGATTAAACGAATGTGTTGATTTATTGAGTATGTGAGTGATCTTGTATGCATTGGGTGTGCACCCCTGATAAAAGATAGATCAGATGTATAGAAATGAAACGGTATTTAGTGGACACATCATTTTATAATAATACTCCTCGTGAGTAACAAAAAAACAACGATCACATATGTAATCTTGATCACCTGTACTCCAGCTTTCAAATTCATTCATCAGCATACTCTGAACTGCCATATCAAGATAACTACACATTTTTGACACATCCATTAGATATTGAACATGAAAGCATTCAGCAAAGTGAAACAGGTTTCACTTCTACATCTACATCCAATCCATCAAATGTACACCATATGAATGCCACATCAAATGATAATTGTTCCATTGACTAACGATGTCTAACAAATATCACACATGCCAATGTGTATCATTCACAGATTTGCACACATCAGTATGATTGAATTTCCCACTGTATCTCCAGTGTGATCAGAAAGTGATGGTAGTGTTGTCAACTACTCAACTTATTCATACATCAAACTATTGAATGAGGCCAATCATATCAAGTTGTCTTGAAAATTCAATACAGATTTGCGCAGTCACCAAGTTGACTTCACTTGGGATTGTGATGTGATAGCTAGATTGGGGGATTCAGAATAAATGTCCACATAAACTGAACACTTAGAATTATGATGTAGACTGCAGTGCATGTCAGTGACACTTCTACAATGAAGACGGTTGACGGTATGTAATGTTGACATCCAGGATGATTGTGATGGTGAATGTAGACGTTTCCTCCTTAGTCATCATGCAAATACCTCCTCGATATACACAGAGTACATACCTGAAAGCATCAATCACACACCTCAACAATAAAACCCAAGAATAATACAAAATCTAAAACTCACTCACACTGTTTCACAAATGAACAAACATATGTAGTCGACAATTTTTATGTAGGTAGGGTGGATAGGATCGGTGTAGGTATGTAGAGTTATCCGATAAATAGACTTTGATTTAAGGACCAGAATTTTCTCAGTCAACAAATAGTCAAGTGACCTAATTAAATGTGGCACACTCTGAATGAATGTGAATGTTATACATGAGCATTATCACAACCATACAATCAGATGTGATTGATGAATGCTGATTTAGTAGAAATGTTAGGCATTACACATGTACAACTTCACGCAATGTTATTCTTGTAGCATTTTGCTATGAATTTTGAACTAGATGAGATTATAACAGATATTGTTATGAAATTCGAAAGCAAATCTTATCATTGGATGAGAAGGTGTACTGCGTAATGATGAAATATTGAGAAGACTTGTGATTCGAAAGCTTACATTTCTGTCCTACAGAATAAACCTGGAATCATTTAGGAACACCTTAATATTCATTTGATTTCCTTCACTGAAACTTTCAGTCTTCATCTCTTCATCCAACAGTCTTTTGTATGATGTGATGTGGACACCTTAATTTTCATTCTAGTTTGTTCAGATTCAATGCGTTTGACAAAATCATCTTGGTTGCTGACAGTTCCTCTCAGATGATGTAAAATGTCGTACTATTTTATCGCATACTCTTAAAATCTTTGCTCAAAAATACTCGAATGCTGAATGACAACACTGATTTGAGTATGAGGAGGTAAAATAGTAAGGCAAGTCATTGTTTGAGACATTGACCATACTTCCTCATATATAACCATTTGTAAGATTACATTTCATCATGTCATCAAGCAGTTCACTTTGTATTCAGCTTGACACAAATTGTTTCTGTATCGACTATATGATTATGCTATACCATTGTTACTTATTTGAAGACATTTGTATATGTGTAAATCATGTTGGATATAAAAGGTTTGCTGGGCTGTTTACTTCACTTCCCTTGAACGACGAGATCTCTATGATTATAAAACGAAATTCTCAGACTGCATACATAGGAGAAACTCAGTGTGAAATGCAGATTAGAAAGGCTATACTGAACTTGCTGACTAGCAGAGGAAACCAGGATGCGCCTTCCATCCTATTTGGGGCCGGTCAGCTACAGAAATTACTGCTATATTCATTTGACTTGTATTGTGGAATACTTCGTATGGTCAGTATCAAATGTGAGCGACAAAGATCAGGTAAGAAACAAGGGAATAAGGACTGATGTTCTGCAGGTTTGTGCACTTCGTGACGATAAACCGATTCGTTACAACTGGCGCATAATAACATTCACTCTATTGTTTCAGTAATTTGAGAATTGTGAACATGTCAGCTGAAAGAGGACCTAACGGTGAACCCATTACCACACCTTCTATCAGACGGTGAATTGCTTTGTCCAACTGAAATTCTACACTCATCGTACAACGAAGGATCAGCTGTCATACGGTTGCAAATGGTACACCCACATGTATCTTGTTATCCAGCAGTGAACTACAATTGAAATCAGTTGTTTGCAGAAGAGGAATATAGGTAATCAAGGGAGTAACATACATAGAAATCATTGTTTCCCTACTAATGTTCTTGTCTTCGACTTTTGAAACAAACTCAAAGGTGTCTTTTCAGATATATTTACCTACCAAATCAGTTTTGTTTATTTGACTTAGAACACACAGCGAGTGATACAGGATTATTTATTTGGTGACAATGAATTCGGTCAAGTGTTTTGTTGACTGATAAAAAACTGGTCGATGGGTTGAAGTCCACTTGAAAAATTAATCGGTATTACATCTACTCTTTCCACTCTATATTTAAACTTGTCGACGTCTCATATTTTTTTCATTCGTGAAAAAGAGTGAACGAATTCGTGTGAGTTTATGTTTCTTGCTTGTTCCATCGGTTTCATTGTTCAGGTGTGTGATTCAATCATTCAGGTATTCACGGTGTGTACATTCAGGAATTATACGCATTGCTATCAAGCAGGAAACCTTTCTACTCGCTGCCACAATCATCCTCCATGCACACATTACTAGCCATCAACTACTCCTATTGTCCAACTAAAAATTACATGTAGTATTTTCGACTTGCTCATAACACACACTATTCAACATCATATTTCTCAGTGTAAAATTTACGCGAACGTTTATTCTAAATTTGCCAACCTCATTCGTTCATCCATCTCAGTCACGATGTAGTCAACAATGACAACTATGTCAACATGTATAGACATTTTAAGATTTCAGGTTGATGTTGTTCTACTCTCTCAATTGTTTGATGTCTGAGTAAGTTGATAGGTTGTGAAGACTGTCTTCACTTTGTGAAAATGCCTGAGATGCACTGTGAAAATCTAGCGAACTGGTGAATGGTAATCTGTGAATGATACACGTTATCAGGTGTAGTATTTATTAGACACTGTATGTATGTGGAACAATTACCACTCGCATTGGCTAATACATCCACTACATTTCGATGGTGTGCATTCCACTGACCTTAAGCAGAAAGTCTCTGAAGCATGTTACTGCTCTTGTGTTCAGTACTCACTTTGTCTTCTCCCATGAAGCTGCACACAATATGTTGATGATTGGTTTAGAATGTTTGTGTTGAGGTGATGACGATTACAAGTCTGATGTTGTTTGTTTAATAATGATAATAGACATGATTATGTGATGAAATGTTTACTTGATTCCATTTCCCCTCTGCACACTTGACTTTCCATTCATCAGGTGGTGCAAACACAACACACACAAGATCTCCTACAGACGAAATAAACAGACACACCTACAATTATCATATCGATGTTGATGCAAGTAAGCAAGTTACTTTCACCAATTTCTGTTGACTTTCAGTTGTTTTCAATGAATGAAATGTGGATGTTTGTCAGGGATTTTGTCGACACCAATGACAGTTTAAAGAGGTAATCATGCACAATACTGTTTTCCTAATCTCACTTCACTTTATCACAGTGCGAACAGTCAAAAGACAAAATACACCGACGTGATTGTAATGGCGTCATGTATGTAAGTTAATTTCGTATTGATCTGTGTTGACAGACTCTACTGAGTTATTTTATTCACAAATAATAATAATAATAATAATTAATGAAGGTTGAGATGGATAATGAGTGATTCGAATGGTACAGTGTATATATTGATCATGTGCTCCCGACTCTAATCGTAATATTCTACTGGAATGTTGTGGCCTCACTGTGTACTGTGTTGATTGAACTAGTCTAGATGGAAATCGGAGAATAGAGACATTTTGTTTATTAGTTGGCTGGAGGCAATCTTCAGGAAGCCCTGGGCCTAGGTTTCTTGCTTTTTGGCACTCGTCAGCAAGGCGTATCTGCAATCTCGACGGAACTTATGTCCCGCATGAGACTCGAACCCGCGTCACTCAGTGTTGTAGTCAGCAACTTTACTACCGAGCTATTCGGGCCGTGACTGACCACCTGTAGGACTGGCTTACATGTATGATTATTTGCATAGATTAAGTGCTGAATTGGTCACTCCACAGTATTGGACAATCAAGACAGTTCTCGAATATTCACAATATTTGTCAGCGTTTTTCTCAGTTGAACAACATGCATGTGTTAGGTGCATCATGTTGAGGTGACTATTTTCAATTGATTATCCATGATCTGAGTAGTTGATACTTTGTAGGAGAAATAAATCGTGAAGATCACGATAAACGAGATGTGAAGAGATAGACATGAAGAGTACACAGGGTGAATGATGACAACCTGTGTAATACTACCTAGACAGACAATATTTCACTTAGACAAACATGCGTGATGATAGTTCACCTCACAATATTCACTTCACTATCAGACTTCCAAAATGCCTTTGCGAAATGCATTCTCCCCATCTCGTTACACATTATGGTTAGCCTGATTGATGAGAGGTGAATTTCTTCATTTGGTTTCAGGTTATTGGCTTATATCATAGATATTCTGTTGATTTTCGTGTCGAAACTACGGAATAGCTTTCCTGCCAATCTTCTCCTCATCTTATTAGCAGTAAGTTTGCACATTTATCTCAAAAAAAATTGATTATATATTAACTGACAGTAATAATTTAGGTTTTGTGTCATTGACAAGCAGATTGTTCAAGATAGAGATAATTATTGCAGTTGACTACGGGAGCACAGTGAGAGATGCAATTCACCAACTGTCCAGTTTGAAATTGCTATCTCAGTAGTGCGAAATGAAGGTAGTAGAGTAACATGGTGGTTCTCATTCTCAGTCGTCACGAATCAATGCAATGGGGAAATGCTTCATTACAAAAATATTTCATATACTGAAGTCAAAGTGAAACTATGATCATAGTTAGTCCCTTATGCATGATATTCAATCGGTAATCGGGGTGAAGACAAACAACGATTTTCCAGTCCAATTATCACCAACACCAATCTACTTACTTAGGAGAACATACTCAGGATTCGGGTGGACGAACTTTGTATTGACCTACCGT